AGAATTAAGTTGCTATCAGATTTGTTAACCGTAATCATTGGAAATCCGTGTTTTTCCGTCCACGAATTCATAATGGCCGACAGATTAGTAGGCAGCTGGTTGCTCACCTCTACCTTTTCTTGTATTTTTTTGAAGAGATCTTCTGGTTCGCTGGAGTTAAATTTACTGCAACCATACTAATTAGCGTTTCGTGTTATTTCAAAAGCCTGGCTTTACAGATCTGTGAGGTAGAGATTTAAGCCATCGAAAAATGTCGTTTCGCCCAGAAATAAAGACATCATACGAATAACGCTGCCGCCTTTACTATAGCTAATAGAACCAAACATACCGCTAATGTCACCTGGAGTAAAAACATTCGGATTTGTCAGCGGTTTCGCTTTTTCTAAAGAGTCGGAGACAAGAACGCGTTGGTGCTCTTCAATGATGAATTGCAAATCCAACTCCCAATCATTTTCAATCTGCAACAAGATTTTAATTAGGTCATCGAAATTCTTCGACTACCTATACCTGGGCAAGTGAAAAGTACTCAAAGAAGGTGGCGAATCCTTCATTAAGCCAGGTACTTGACCACCATTTTGTGGTAACTAAATTTCCGAAAAGCATATGTGACAGTTCGTGGGCCACAACAGTTCCCACTCTTTGCTTGTTTCGTCGACTGTTTTCATAGGGATCCCAAAGAATTGCTGTTTCCCTAAAAGTTTCAAATCGGTCGGTTGAGCTTTTCGGTTAGTTTCTACCTGTATGTGACCATTCCCCAGTTTTCCATAGCACCTGCCGAAAAATCGGGTATTGAAAATTGGTCAAGCTTTGTTAGCCCCGATACTGAATAAGGTATTTTGGTAAAATTTTCCATGACTTTGAGTAATTTTGGACTAACAGACAATGCGTATTGGCTATCGCGTATCGTTTCCATTGATGACCATATCGAATGCTTTATATTATTCGTCGAAACCGTCATGGCCGCGTATTTCGTAACGGCAAATGCAACTAAGTAGGTGGACATAATAGGCGAAGAATTAAAAATCGTTTTCTTTGACTTTGTGGAAGTTCTAAAAATAAGTCTTTGCCACTATACCCTGTTTTTTAACACGGGCCCAGCAAATACTTACTCAATAGTTTTAATCTCAGCGTTACTCACAGCGTAGTAATCTAAAGGATGATTAATAACCATGTCAAATTTTGCTTTGTATTGTGGTTCATCGAAGCATGGGAAAGCTCTTCGTGCCGAGGTTGGCTGAAACTGTGTTACCGCAATCCATCTGCGTTCAGAGACTACAAAATAATGTAATAATGAACGTTTACTTACTCAGATTCCCCTTTCGAATTGTTATAATAGCTGCGGTAAAACCCATTCATGTCCAAGTCCAAAAATCCTTCATAATTATTAACCGAAAGAATATAGGAGCTATTTATCGATATAGGAGACTGCGTTTTAATGGTAACCATCTCTAGCGCACTGTTAAAGGTGACGTCTGAGACGGCGATTGGGGTTTGAGGAGGATCGTGGGATATTTGGATATGCGTGGCGTCAAATTTTAACTTATTGGAATGCAACGTAATCTCCGAAGTTTGCAACTTTGCCCTAAAACGTATCTTGACATTCCCAAAAAATTGCGCCGTGCTTCCAAAGTTGTCCATCACGGTTACTTCAACCTCGTAAGTGGACGGTATTAAATTTCCATTTAGGCGGTATTTTTGCTTTTCGTTGTCACCGTCGGTTTTCACCCCGTTGAGGAGCACGAGTAGTGGAAATAAAACCTTTAGGTAGCTCATAGTTGAAGGTAACTATAACAAAAGAAAACATGGAACTCACACAAGAAGGGCAATGAGCAATTAGCGCAAGAATAATATCAATCGTACCTTTATCGATATGGGGAGATCAATAAGCTTTATTCAAAGTAACATTGAAAACAGTATTGACATTTAGATAATAACTCGAATGATCTATTGCATACCAACGGATTCGATGTGCTCACGATAAAACAACTAATCTGAAAAAACTATCTCATGGTGTACATATACCACTACACCAACTGATTTTGAAATGGTAGAAAAGGGTATTATAAAATTCCTAATATCAATGTGATAACGTTAATCCATTTTTATGACCTTTTTTATAAGAACACAGTTAAAGACTTAAATCCTCAGAAATTTTTTTGATATAGATACATATTTCCCAAAAAAAAGACAGGAGAGAGCACTCACCTAGTGTACCAACAAACCAACGCGCATAAATAGCAGGAATGTACCTTTTCTTTTACGAATACTACTAATTTATGATGGTAAGTTTCCTCAAACAAGCATACATTTAGTTCCCAAAATATCTTTGGTGGTACACATTCTAACGCTGACTGATAATAAAGTATAATCTCCTACCTATCTATAGGTCCTCCAGTGTAAAAGAATTATTGTGCATACATTGCTATCTTTTAATACTATTTGTTATAAAGGGGAATGGTAATTGATTAGCGAGCTAGCACTTTAGACATTTATGGATAGTAGGTGAGTAGGTATCTATAAAAGTAACAAACGCGCCGCCGACTGTGGGTGTTCGCTACCTATGTCATTGATATGTTAAACTCTCGACCAAGTTTCGTTATCAGGTTGCATTTAGGTAATTGGTAGCATGTTTGTCTTTGTTGGCAAACGAAAATAAAATTGCGGCATATTTTTTGAATCGATAACCACAGTAGCAGGAATCATTCACCAACATTTCAAAGTAGCATACAGTGTATCAATTTGAAAACCTACCACCCCAAATATATGAGCCGTAACAAAAAATCTACGGAAAAACAAAAACACGTCATATATTTAAGGGGCTTACATGAAATTGGATCAACCCTATAATGAAGATACATAAGCAACTCAAAAAATTTGAATGGGGAAGAGAGGATCAGTGACACCTCATTTTAAAGATCATTCAAACGTATTTTCCAACATTTGTGGTAGACATCGCTAAGGACTATATCAAAATAACTATCCTATTGGCTATTTTAGTCAAAAATTTTTTGTAATTCAACATACAAAAATCAAATCAAATAAGTGTGTTACCGGGCTCCCGTTACAGAAGTCTGTTTCCTAATCACATAAATTGTATTGTTGTTACCAAACGATTAAGTAGATCACACGTAAGTTTCGTTTTGTTTAATTTTTAGTGAATATGTAACTTGGCCTGTTTATTTCAATACTAAATTATAGGTGCGCAATTATAAAAGTGCTTTAATATTGTTACAATAAAAATCATAGTAAACTGCACGAATAATAATGTAGCAGACACAGCGAGTGCGATTTAAAAAGAAGGTTTCATGCTACCGGTAAATTTATCGGACATCAGTTAATTTCCGTAGAAAAATGTATTCACATACCCAGTTCTTTAAATTATATTTAAACGTACTGTATAAAACAAGAAAGACTTGTATTTGTTGATAACTACCTATTACAAAAATTATGCAAATTTGACTTTTGATACACCTACTGGTTAAAGCGACTTATTATTATAATAAGTAGAAATTTCCAATAATTTGGGATAGAGAAAATTTGGTTCAATTTGGTTTGCTTGAAGTCAAATTATGGGTCATTTACCTTTTACATTAGCAATATATCCAGAGATGTGTTGTGTATTTATCAAGAATGGGTGTAAATTTTTTTTAACATAATTTTGGGCATGAATGAAATTTTGAAGTTTGATATGGGAGCGATCAAGCCAGATAAACGTGACGTAATTTCTTTGAACTTTAAATGATTAATTAAAATTTGATAAATAATTATTATGCTTGTGGTTTTGCCATTGCATTGGCATAGTCATTGGGTACAAATGAAGGTCATATTTAAAAATGGTTATATTCAAATTGTGTTCAACAATTAATAAACGTTTATTATTTGGAAGGGGGAATTTTTGTAATTATAAAAACGTTTAATTACATCACATTCAAGCACGTGCGGTATTAATTACTGGCCTACTGAGATAAACAATAATGACATGCAGAATAGTTATCTCTATTTTTTCAACTCATTTACAGGCTGTTTTATTAGTGAAACCACCATGAGTAAATAATTATAAACTCGACACTCCCTGGGATTACTTTATGGGCCGCAATAAAGATAATTTAATTGAAAAATTTTACTCACCCCCTATTACTAGGTAGGTATAATTGTATACAGTGTGTTCGGGAACTCCCGCGTCAGTTACTCTCACTTCAAACGGTAAACATCGAACACACCTGCAACTTTCAACAGTAATTTTTAAATTAATACGCTTCAATAGTAAAAGTAATTAAGTAGAAAGTCCCTTTCGTCACTGATAATTATTCAACTTGTAGGTACGTTAAACTACAGTACCTACATATGGAAAAACGACTTACCGCTCGAATAACACACTTCTATCTGCAACGAATTATTAACTGTAAACAATTATTACAATAGGAATTTCCGATTATCCTGAGAAAATCTTCTCTGACGTAATCGTGTCAAATATTTGCATTGCATTTAATTGTCCCACATTGTAATTAAAAATGTAATCTCGTTAGACGGCTAGAAAGATGCTTACTATAAGTACCTTAGCGCAAACTTATTTCACGGTCCGAATTTTATACAAAAGAGAGTCAATAATTTTTTACGAATTGCTCAACGATATAAATTATATAAATTATAGCAATTGTGCTGGTAACAAAACCGTAAAAATAAGTGCCTACACACCTTTGTGTGAAAATTTACGTGGCGAGGTTAGAATACAGTAAATCCTCGTATTTAAAAATCACATACGAAATCCACTCCGAAGGTTCTTTCCCCTACGCTTTTTTTTGCAATTTACCCGAAATAATTGAAGATATTTTTTGGGCGCTGCGTCGAAAGGTGGAATGCATGTGGAGAGAATGGTTCTTATACACCAGATCAAATGCTATAAGTACTTTGAAAAACAGCTACAGTAATCCAAGCAGCACGGGGTCCAAATGACCTTTATATCGGTAACCATTTTCATGGTCGTTTTTTAAAAAAAAATGGGCGATGATTAATGTTTATTTAAGAACAAAAAAATTATAAAATTGTTCTCAATTTACATTACACGATATTTTTTGAGTATCGTTCATAATCTTCAAACCACTTAACTATGGTCTTCAGCCTGTCTTCGCGCAGCCATGCCATATTGTTGTTAACATGATTCAAACACGAACGAATTGCGGATGAATGCGGAAATGATAACCTCAACTAAAAAAAGGCATTAAACATTATTCAGACGGTTACTTATTCTGTTCGAGGTGCCTTTAGGAGCATGATATTCAACAACGTGATGTTTTTGAACAATATACGGTGTCCATTTTTCGAGTGCCACTATGGGGATCTCACTTATCTTAAGAGATAGAAAGTTGGTTAAATAGGGGCAAAGTTGCCAATTTTCGTGCCGAATAAGAATCTGAAAAGAAATTTGAAATATCTTCAATAGTTTTGAAGATATCGCAAAAAAACGAAAATTTCTAATTTTCGTTTTTAATTTTTTTATGATAAACTAATCATAGTAGACATTTCTAATTAACACATTATTCGGACAATTTTTAATGGAGAGTTCAAATATGGCATCCTGTTTTTAATAACTTTCAAGATGACGGAGAAACACGTGGCAACTTTAGTTTTTCTTATGAGCGCCATTTTGAATTTTCACATTTTGAGATTACGTCTTTTTTTCTCTTTACAACGATATACACACATGGTGGTTCAGTATCACATTTTTCCTAAAAATACAATTTTTAATTATTTGAGAAGAGTGCTTTGGAAAAAGAAAACGTTCTTTTGTTGTGAACAAAAGGTTGACTTATTTCATGTATAACTCTCGCCAGGAAAGATTTCCGGTCACAACACACCTTGCGTCGATTGACAATCTTTGTTTTTATTAAGATGCGAGCGACTTCTGGAATAGGATCGTGCTAATGTTGAAACAAAAAGTCTTTTCGTTCAACGTTGACACGATACGATCCCGGAAGTCGCTAATACCTTACGAAAAACAGAGATTGTAGATCGGGATCAAGTGTTCTGTGACCGGCAATCTTTCCTGGCGAGAGTTATAGTGCCATTTAGGTTTATGCTAGTTGTATGCGAAAATGCCTTTTTCAAGTGCAGATCAAACAGATATGATCCAAATTTACTACACTTCTCATCGAAATGCCCACATGGCTGCTGCAACATACTTCCAGCGTTATGCAGAGTGGCAACAATCTAGTTTGAGGTATTTTTCTTTGCTGCATAAAAACTTGGGCGAATATAGTTCTTTTAAAAGATGTAGACAGTAATATGGTGATAGATCCAATGAATAGGAGCAGGCAATTTTGCAAGCAGAAAAAATTTTGAAATTTTGACAATGAACATTACTGGTCAATTGAAAATTCTCATCAATTTCAAGAACGACGACAACAAATACGTTTTACCGTTAACGTATGGGTCGGTTTATTGGGCGATACATGGTCCTTAAGAGACTCTAAATGCTGATCGGTACCTCTATTTCCTGAGGACATTTCTAACCGATTTTATTGACAATAACGTTCCTCTTCATAGTTTGAACTCCATATGGTTCCAGCAAGATGACGCACCGCCCCATAGTGCTAGGGGGGTTGGGGAATGCTTATCGGAATTGTTCCTCAATCATGTTATTGCTAATAATGGCGACGTATTCTGGCCGGCGCGGTCACCTGACCTGTCTCCCTTGGACTATTTTTTGTGGGAACAATGAAAATGAAATTTACAAAACATTGCCAGCCGACCTTGATGAACTTCGTTATAGAATTGTGAGCACTCTCAGGCACAAGATTAGAAGAAGGGATATGTCAAGAGCCATAGCAAATCTTAGGAAGAGAGTGGCACTGTGCTCAGAATTAGGAGGTGGGCAATTTGATTAATTTGAACACATGTTGTTATGTATTTTGTTCTAATTTAAATTATAATTCTTGCAAACCGAAAGTTCAATTCTGTTCAGATGAAAATCGAATTTCTACTTCTCTGACAACGCTGCAACCAGACAGATGGATCAAACTGTCAAACATTTGTTCACAACAAATGAACGTTTTCTTTTTCCAAAGCACTCTTCTCAAAAAATTAAAAATTGTATTTTTAGGAAAAATGTGGTACTGAACCACCATGTGTGATATATCGTTGTAAAGAGAAAAAAAGACGTAATCTCAAAATGTGAAAATTCAAAATGGCGCACATAAGAAAAACTAAAGTTGCCACGTGTTTCTCCTTCATCTTGTAAGTTATTAAAAACAGGATGCCATATTTGAAATCTCCATTAAAAAGTGTCCGAATAATGTGTTAATTAGAAATGTCTACTATGATTAGTTTATCATAAAAAAATTGAAAACGAAAATTAGACATTTTCGTTTTTTTGTGATATCTTCAAAACTATTGAAGATATTTCAAATTTCTTTTCAGATTCTTATTCGGCACGAAAATTGGCAACTTTGCCCCCATTTAACCAACTTTCTATTTCTTAAGATAAGTGAGATCCCCATAGTGGCACTCGAAAAATGGACACCGTGTATATTAACACGCAACAAGCGGACGGACGGACTGACTTCTTCAAGGCGACTCAGTTGAAATAGCTGAGAAAGGCTCACCATATTTAATAACTCTAATTGTTGTTGCGATGTGATGTATTTACACAAAACGTCCGCTACTCGCAACTCTTGATAGCTGAAACAATTTCGTTACCTATACACTTCCGAAACTGCGATTGTATGAGAGACTTACATCTCATTTGTAGAAGAGACGTGCCTTATAAAATATTTGAAAATCATCTCAACTCTGGTCTGATCGATTTGCAGAATCCTCATGAGCGCAATTTTTTTATCCGCAACACTAACACCGCTACTCTTCATAAAGATTAAATCTAAAATCCTTACCAAAAACTAATTATCGGCGTGACTTTTAACGGAGCTAGGTACTTCTCTAGAAACATTTTGTGGCTCGTACAGCCCAAGCCAGTCAGTAATTTCCACTTCCTTTCCCCATCTGGGATGGATTCGTATTTCGCATACAACATTTTCCAGTCGTCAACAGGCGCCATTTGCATGGCACCACACATAATTGGCACCTCTAAGTTTATAGCGATCTTTGTACCATTCGACAGCCAAGATCTCACGGCTTTCAAAGCTTGGTCTCTACAGTTGAATAAATTTAAATTGCAGGCCCATGTAATGATACTTATTCGACTATGTTTGTTTAGGTATTCATCCAACTCCGTCTCTTCAAAACCTAAACTCCGATAAAGATCCTCAAGTAAGTTTTTTATGTAATTCTGAAAACCATTATTAGGTAAAAGTTTCACCATTTCAAACTCACCTTAAACATCTCTTCTTTTCCCAGTGACTCTAGATAAAGTTTTACCTTCTCTATGTTATTGAAGAATGCCAAAAAGGGCAAAGATTCCACTTCTCTACGTAAATAAAGGCTTAAGCCTAAGGGTATGTCGTACGGTATATAATTGAAGTGTGCCAATTCAAAAGCGTCATCTAGCAATTGCGCCCTGTTTGAAACGTGAACATCCAGTCTATTGTTGGTCAATCGGCGCGTGAGTGATCTCCAAATTCTGATATCGTAATTTACCCTGTAATAGCCTTAGGGGGAATCAGGTGGTTTTGCAAGGTTTATGACTAGGTAGGTACCTGTTTGTTGATTGTTAACCAATATACAGTTTATAGAAGCATTTGGATAAAAAATGACAGACTTCTCCTTGAGCCACATCTGAGGTGTTGTTAACGTACTCGTGCCCTCAACGAAATTAATGGGAATATACCAGAGATGATCAACGTTTGAGTTACCGAAAGATTCCTAGAGATTCGGCAAATGCTTACTCGAGAATCTACTCATACCATATTTAAACACAAGGCAATGATGCTTGTATTCTCACCTGAGATAGTATGATCGATCCATCGTAATAATTTCGAGAAACGTTGACCACTGGATATCCAGGGAATGAATCCCAAGTGCTCATTATTTCACTAACACTTACATTTGCTAATAGATGGGTGTTGTTACGGTAATTGATGGCAGTTTGGAAAGTGTCGTAGAGATCTTTAGGGCTCACTGAACCATATGCACTATGGAACACTCATTGAATTTTACTAAGCGATGGGAAGCCAAACTTACAATTTTTTTAAATACATTCTGATCCCTAACTGAAATGTGTCTTGGGTTAGTATGTGTTCTAACATTCTCACTATTGCGGCGCCTGAAACCAACCAATCGAAAAATTAGTTGTATAAAGACGCCATTGAACCGCATGGCAATGATTGGAGAACTTTTTTAGCCATGATGAACGATCGATTGAACTCATTACCTTTAAAGTAACTAGTATACGCAACTGGTAGTGATCCTGCATATTGAGGGTGAAAATTAAGATAATAAGAGCCTTTTGTATCCATTTTGAGTAGTGGCTGCATCAAGAAAACCAGAAATTGATCCATCATCTTCCACGATGGACGCATCTAAAAGAACAAGTTTACTCTCATTTGTTATACGAACGAAATTATATGAAATAGATACGCGCATTATATCAAGCGAACCTAATTCCAACCCAAAAACTCACCAGTGAGGTGGTGTAATATTCCATATAGGTAGAAAACCCCTCACTCAACCATAGGAAATTCCACCAGGTTGGTGTGACCAAATTCCCAAACCACTGGTGAGCAATTTCGTGTCCGGTCAATAATGTACACTTACGAATTTGGTCAATGGTCGACTCATTTGTGCAAATTAAATTCTTCTCACTAGAACTTCTACTTAAGAAGAAGTGTATAAAATGGTGCCTAATACCTAAGCGTGATCAGTCCCCAGTTTTCCATTCCTCCCGGTTCAAAATAATCAGTCGGCACAGCGAATAGATCTAATTTACCCATCGCATATTTAATGCCAGTATAATTCTCTAGGACCTTCAAAGCATCGTTGGCAATGGATAGCACAAGGTCTGTTTTTCCTCTTTGGATAACTTCGGGCGGGGCATACACTCGAAACAGTCCCTTTTGTACGGTGCGCTGATAATCAGAGACGGAAAACGCAATAAGGTACGTTGACATTTTCACAGTTTCTTTGTAGATGTCGAGAAACCGCCCGTTTCCCAGATCTCTAAAACGCATTTGTGAGGTTGAGTTAACCAAAAGGGCCGATTTACACAGTCCTAACTAGTTGCTCGTTAGAAACAGAGATGTATTCCTTTCCGCGTACAATCGAAATGATGAATTTTGATTTGAAGGAAGGTTCATCAAAGCAGGGGAAAGCTTTACGTGCTCCAATCGGTTGAAAATCGGTTAGGGCTAAAAATCTATTTTTCAATGTGGCACATCATCTGTAAATTTTAATGTTACCTCTCCTTATTCGCCTTGTTCCTATACTTTGCCAAGTAAAATCCAACCTTGTCAAATTTCAGCCTTCCTGAGAACTTTCCGATGATGAGAACAACGTGGTGATTTTCCCGTAATGGTTGGAATAGACCAATCGTATAGAAGTCTCTTGTGGTATCCACTGTGATGTTACTAATTTTTTGACTCGTTCCATTATCGACGATTTGAAGAGCGCGCGAATCAATGAACAGATCTCTAGCATGCAACGTAATTTGGTCCGTTGTAGAGATTACTTTGAGGTCTATAGAAAGACTCCCGTTGAAATATGCTTTTGTGATGTTTGCGAAGTTTGGCTCTATTGATAAATTGTATTGAAGAGGTTGTATCGTTGAAGGTAATCGGAATGAGTCATCTGCCTTTTCTAGAATTGCACCAACTGATGAGGCGCAGAAGGATAAGACTAGGACGTTGGGCAATGTCCCTAAAATTCAAGATCCATTTAGGAAAACAAAATTTATTACTTCATCTCAGATGCACAAAAGCACTTTTGATACCCATAAAATCTATAGTTTCTTCAGTTACAACGAAAGTATGGTAGACAAAACGGGTAAAAGAAAAATGGGCATCATCTTCCGAATTGGGGACCAAGTGAGTGTAAGTGAAAGTACGTATACAGGGTGGTGACTTGCGTAACGCATCATAGGGATTTTAATGTAAAATTCCTAACATGCCATTATTGGCTCCCCAAATTATTTTAGAGTAAAAATGTATTAAGGTTTTTTGTAGAAAAAAATTTTTTACGTCAATCAACCGTATTAGTTTTCAATTTTTTGCATAATAAAGACGGAAAATTGGAAAAATAAACCCCCATCTTTTTCAATAATCTGTGATGCCATGGAATTTTATAATACAAAAACTACGCCAATATCCGTCATGCCATGGAATGTCTGCTATAAAACAAATCAAATTCTATCAAAAAGTATTATATTTAGAACAGCGAATTCAACATAAAGAAAGACCAAATTACTAAAAACGGTTTCCTAATATGACAATTTACAATAAATGTTCGAATAAGTCACCATTAACTGCAAGACAGTAGGTAACCAAGTCGATCATAAAATCCATTTCGAACTGCTGCTAATTGATAACTGGATATCTTTTTGTTTTAGAAAATTCCATGGCATCGCAGATTATTGAAAAAGAGGCGGGTTTTATTTTTCCAATTTTCCGTGTTTATTATGCAAAAAATTGAAAACTAATACGGTTAATTGATGTAAAAAATTTTTTTCTACAAAAAACCTTAATACATGTTTGCTCTAAAATAATTTGGGGAGCCAATAATCGCATGTTATGAATTTTACATTGAAATCCCTATGATGCGTTACGCAAGTCACCACCCTGTATAGATGCTTGTATTGGTTTTGGAAAATAAAAAATACCAGCGCGTTACAAACGTTAAAATATTCATTGATTAAAAAAATGACTACTGTTAGAGGTCAATGTCGCCACTTAATAAATGATAAGTCGTATAATTCGGTTTAAATATTGATTTCCTATGCAATGTCGTTTCATAGTTTTGTATACGAACATTAAAAAAAGTTGCTTTGTCTTGGATGTAGTTACTCTTATTGTGATAAAACCTTTCTGTAACATTTTTTTTTATTTTGTTCAAACGATCGAGAAGTTTGCAAAAAATGTGACCAAAAAGAAGCCATATTCTGAGTAAACGTATTACGTTATTGAATTAATGCAAAAATGTGTAACTTCGAATCAATATAAACGCAGTTTGCCAAAGTCCATCAACTTTTGTTTATTGAGAATTAGTAAATAACCCCTAACTTACTCAAAATTGTTTTCTCACTAATCATTATATTCTAGTTAAAATATCACAAGCACATCGCAATTTATCTTTACCCTACTAAATACTTGAACACAGTATAATCATTATCGCAAGAAGATATAATTATGATTCTTAGAAAGAAACATTAACAAATTGCGTTATTCGTATTACGCAAGATTGCCTATTTAAAATTACCCTCTACCCATATTTTGCGTTTACAGGGACGATATTTGAAAAACAATGTGTAACTATAGGTATATGCTTATGTACCTACTATATACAATTTAACCTTTTTTAATCAGATTTTTAACGGATCAAAATTCATTTCGTTTAGTTAAATACTCGAAAATTGGTAGTGGACGATATAGGGTAATTAACGACATATCATTGAGATTTTTCTTTTTCTCTGGGGTTAGAACCGCAAATTGGGTTCTTGAGCATTTGATCCCTTCTTATTATTTTTTTCCTAAATTCGTAGCATTTTGTCAATCGCAACGTTTTTGCAGGTTTGAAACATCAGCTCCAGACAAAACATCACCCATTAAAAATCAGGCATATATGGCAACCCTATGGCACTTTATTTTACAACGGACGTTGGAGTCACCTTTTTAATTGTTTCAAGTGAAACACAGACAATCACACATATAGAGAGTGTATCATTATAGGTACACACACCTACAAACTTTTCTGTATTCCAACAGAGTCACCATTGGCAGATAGAAAAACAACACCCTATTTCCAAATACCTTGTCCGCTGTAGGTGCGTAGACCTGAAGGACGTTCAGGTTGAAATTTTGCTCCCGGCTAACTGTAGTAGAGCATTTATTCGTTCCGTCCATCGTCAGGCCAACAAAAGGGATCGACCGAACACGGTAGAAAGTCCAAACCGCAATAAGTGAAAAGTTACCAAAACCCTGAAGGGGAAAAGGTCCTGTACAATTTAAGGATCAACTATATACTGGTTGTAGTAGGACTTTTGACGTATTCCAAGTAGCTATTTTCAGAGAATACTTTGATGTAAGCAAAGANCCCTCTTCCGACATTTAGTTAAGCCGCACATGTTCTTTGAAGTTTTGATCCTTCCCTTTGATGGACCTTCTCGCCGCCTCACACCGTTCCTTTGATGGACCCCTCTTCCGACATTTCGATAAGCCGCAGATGTTCTTTGAAGTTTTGACCCTTCCCTTTGATAGACCTCCTCGCCGCCTCACACCTTTCCTTTGATGGGACCCTCTTCCGACATTTCGATAAGCCGCAGATGTTCTTTGAAGTTTTGCCCCTTCCCTTTGATAGACCTCCTCGCCGCCTCACACCTTTCCTTTGATGGAACCCCCTTCCGACATTTCGTTAAGCCGCAGATGTTCTTTGAAGTTTTGACCCTTCCCTTTGATAAGATCCTCTCGCCGCCTCACACCTTTCCTTTGAGGGAACCCTCTTCCGACATTTCGGTAAGCGGCAAATATTCTTTGAAGTTTTCACACATCCCTTTGATAGATCTTCTCGCCGCCTCACACATTTCCTTTGATGGAACCCTCTTCCGACATTTAGTTAAGCGGCAAATATTCTTTGAAGTTTTCACACATTCCCTTTGATAGATCCTCTCGCCGCCTCACACCTTTCCTTTGATGGAACCCTCTTCCGACATTTCGTTAAGCGGCAAATATTCTTTGAAGTTTTCACACTTCCCTTTGATAGATCCTCTCGCCGCCTCACACCTTTCCTTTGAGGGAACCCTCTTCCGACATTTAGTTAAGCGGCAAATGTTCTTTGAAGTTTTCACACTTCCCTTTGATAGATCCTCTCGCCGCCTCACACCTTTCCTTTGATGGAACCCTCTTCCGACATTTAGTTAAGCGGCAAATGTTCTTTGAAGTTTTCACACTTCCCTTTGATAGATCCTCTCGCCGCCTCACACCTTTCCTTTGATGGAACCCTCTTCCGACATTTCGTTAAGCGGCAAATATTCTTTGAAGTTTTCACACTTCCCTTTGATAGATCCTCTCGCCGCCTCCCACCTTTCCTTTGAGGGAACCCTCTTCCGACATTTCGTTAAGCGGCAAATATTCTTTGAAGTTTTCACACTTCCCTTTGATAGATCCTCTCGCCGCCTCACACCTTTCCTTTGATGGAACCCTCTTCCGACATTTAGTTAAGCGGCAAATGTTCTTTGAAGTTTTCACACTTCCCTTTGATAGATCCTCTCGCCGCCTCACACCTTTCCTTTGATGGAACCCTCTTCCGACATTTCGTTAAGCGGCAAATATTCTTTGAAGTTTTCACACTTCCCTTTGATAGATCCTCTCGCCGCCTCACACCTTTCCTTTGAGGGAACCCTCTTCCGACATTTAGTTAAGCGGCAAATGTTCTTTGAAGTTTTCACACTTCCCTTTGATAGATCCTCTCGCCGCCTCACACCTTTCCTTTGATGGAACCCTCTTCCGACATTTAGTTAAGCGGCAAATATTCTTTGAAGTTTTCACACTTCCCTTTGATAGATCCTCTCGCCGCCTCACACCTTTCCTTTGTTGGAACCCTCTTCCGACATTTAGTTAAGCGGCAAATATTCTTTGAAGTTTTCACACTTCCCTTGATAGATCCTCTCGCCGCCTCACACATTTCCTTTGATGGAACCCTCTTCCGACATTTCGTTAAGCGGCAAATATTCTTTGAAGTTTTCACACTTCCCTTTGATAGATCCTCTCGCCGCCTCACACCTTTCCTTTGATGGAACCCTCTTCCGACATTTCGTTAAGCGGCAAATATTCTTTGAAGTTTTCACACTTCCCTTTGATAGATCCTCTCGCCGCCTCACACCTTTCCTTTGATGGAACCCTCTTCCGACATTTCGTTAAGCGGCAAATATTCTTTGAAGTTTTCACACTTCCCTTTGATAGATCCTCTCGCCGCCTCACACCTTTCCTTTGATGGAACCCTCTTCTTCGACCGTTAAGCGGCAAATATTCTTTGAAGTTTTCACACTTCCCTTTGATAGATCCTCTCGCCGCCTCACACCTTTCCTTTGATGGAACCCTCTTCCGACATTTCGTTAAGCGGCAAATTTTCTTTGAAGTTTTCACACTTCCCTTTGATAGATCCTCTCGCCGCCTCACACCTTTCCTTTGATGGAACCCTCTTCCGACATTTCGTTAAGCGGCAAATATTCTTTGAAGTTTTCACACTTCTCTTTGATAGATCTTCTCGCCGCCTCACACCGTTCCTCTGAATTTTCTTACGAAATTGGTTTCTAGTCTATAACTTTCAATTGAGAATTCTAATCGAAAAAGTACGAATCGTTTTGGATTCTACGCACCAAAATTAATAAGAAAAAGTTTTTTCCCGAGAAATTTTGGTGCAGTCGATTTGTGGTAAAAAGGAAGGTTATACACTGCCTTTTTTTTGGCCGGAAAAAAAAATTGTCTCAGATCGACCGGAAAAAAATATTTTCTTATAGAATGTGGCCTGTAGAATCCATAATTTCAAATCGTTCCAAGATCGGGCTATTAGATCAAAAGTTACAGCCCTTTGAATTTTTTTGTCGAAATTGGTTTTTTGCCCCTAACCAAAGAGTTACTCTTTGATGTAAGCTCGGAGATTCTTAGCACCCCTGATTTACTCATTTAATGGACGCCGAGACATGTTGGTTTATTTTGTTTGCTATAGGCCTAGTGTAAAGTATGCTATAGGTTTCAAGTTTTCAAGGGAAAGATAATCCTAGTATTTTCTTTCTTGGATCACAATTTAATTGAAGGTCGTGAGTGGACCTTCTTTTAAGTAACAGCCTAAAAGTAAACTCAATAATCACTAAATAATATGTAAAATGTAAATCGTCTGTCACCTAGATTGGCAGTATTCAATGTCAGGGGTGCTAGCTTTTGCTGTACATCAGAAATTTGTATATCTTTAACGGATAATGTTTAATTGATCTACAGGCAACCCTCCAAACGCCACCTACCTAAAGAGAAAATCCCCTTCCGCTTTGAAATCTTGGAATTTTCAAGACTATATAACACTATTCAATTGTGGGGGTGATAACTTGCGTTGTACATAAACATTTTTTGTTTATTTAACAAATTACGTTTAACTAATCTACAAGCAACCCTCTATACATGCCACTTAAATATAAAATCCACTTCCGCTTTGAAATTTCGGAATTGTTAAAAATATTCGCTGTTACCTACATAACACTATTATATGCAATTGTGGGGATGATGACTTGCGTTGCATATAAAATTTTTGTATGTCTTTAACAAATTACGTTTAATTGATCTACTAGCAACCCTCCAAATGCCACCTATAAATATAAAATTCCCTTCCGGTTTGAAATCTCGTAATTTTTAAGAAAATTCGGCCTACACATAGCAATATTCAATTTCCGGGGTGGTAACTTTTGTTATACCCAAAATGTTTTTATTTTTTTCACGGATTATGTTTAATTGATCTACAAGCAACCCTCCAATTGCCACCTAAAAATCAAATCCCCTCCTGCTATGACATCTTGTAATTATACAATAACTGCATGTATATTATAAAATTATATAAAATATTCAAACTACATATGTACGTTTAGTGATGGAAGAGACGAAGATTAGTATGAACCATAGTTATCTTGTGCTCATTACAAGCTCGAATAACTTCCTCGTCGTTTGTAGATCCTGCTGGGCTCCCAATATAATTGACTCCACTCTGCAAAAAATATCATATATAAGTCAGAACACCATAAAAACTAAAACTAACCAATCTGGCCCTGTCGATATTATCGCGAAAAGGAAAGAATGCATCTGATCCCAAACAAACATCTTTCAAACAACTAATCCATTCCGTCTTTTCGGCTTCTGTAAGTTGCGATGGCACCTCTTCATACATTGCTTGCCACACCCCCAAATCCATATCTTTACCAACAGTACCATTGACATAGTTATCGATCGCATTTGATATCTCGGCTCGTTTAACGGATTTTTTAAACTTCATTCCTATAACTTTGGGATGTTGTCTCAACCACCAATTATCCGCTTTATCCCCGGCCAATCTAGTGCAGTGTATGCGGGACTGTTGACCAGCACCGATACCAATAACTTGTCCGTCTTTAGCATAACACACAGAGTTACTTTGTGTATATTTCAAAGCAATAGTAGCCACAATCAAGTCGCGTATCGCCGATTCGGGAAGGTGCTTGTGCAAGGACACTATATTAGTGAAAAGATTTTCATCAATAACTGCGTTGTTACGTTGTTGTTCCATAGTTAAACCAAACAAAACTTTACGTTCAACAGGACTAGGAACATAATCCGGATCTATGCGTAAAACACAATACGCGCCCCCTTTTTTCTTTTTTAGCAGCTCCAATGCTTCCTTCGTGTAATTGGGTGCAATGATACCATCGGAAACTTCGCGCGATATCAAACGAGCCGTCGGATAATCGCAGGTATCGGAGAGTGCGACAAAATCACCGAACGATGACATGCGATCTGCTCCGCGCGCTCTCGCGTATGCGGTCGCCAATGGTGTTAATTGATCCCAGATGTCGTCTACCATGCAAAGTTTTGCCTAAAATGGAGATTTCTCTACAAATGTGTTGTGAAAATTATGGATGACGTTTGCATTCAACAGTGAGGATGAAATTCACATTTTCAATATTCAAAAATTCCCAGAAATGGTTTGAAATTTTCAAAACTTAGGAAACAATTTTCAAAAGAGGTATCAATGATGATTTCTTACTTGTTCACTGGACAGAGGGACCCCAACAGCAGCACCAGCCGGAGAAACATGCTTAAAGCTAGTAGCAGCAGGTAATTTTAAGGCACATTTTAATTCACGAACGAGTTGCCAGCCATTCAGAGCATCACATAAATTTATAAAGCCAGGAGAGCCGTTAATGACAGTCAGTGGTAAGTGTTCCAATGTTGTATAAATCTGTGCAGGTTTCTGATGCGGGTTCATTCCATAGCGCAGAGTTAATTGAGATACACCATTGGAATATTGTTTGCGGAAGTAATCGGATATTGCGAGATCATATTCCGAAGTATGAGTGAATGCTTTAAGAGCTAATCTCTGCCTTGTAGCCAAAGTTGTATCTCTGGTGGATGAGTTCTGAATTTCCTCAATGACTTGAGCATAATCGCTCGGGTCGCAAATTATTGTAACACGATCGTGATTTTTCGCAGCCGCCCTCAGAAGGGTAACTCCTCCAATGTCGATATTCTCCACTGCATCTGCCACAGTAACATCCGGTTTCGAGACCGTCTCCACAAACGGGTACAAATTACAAACGACCAGCTGAATTAATTCAATATTCTGTTTTTGCAAATCAGCCTGATCCGATGGTGTAAGCCTACGAAACTACTTAGTAATTGTGTTTGATGGAACTGTAACACGTACCTGGCTAAAATTCCCCCGTGCACACTCGGGTGTAGGGTTTTTACTCGTCCACCCAAAATTTCTGGCGCACCTGATATATCAGATACATCCTTGACTGACAGTTGAGCATCACGAAGACTCTTCGCAGTACCACCGCTGGCCACCAATGTAAATCCTAATCTCTGCAGATTTTTACCCAGCTCGATTAGGCCGGTCTTATTAGAGACAGAAATAAGAGCTGAAATTTCATAAAATTGAACAAAATTGAATAATACAATTCATTTACCTAGAGGTCCACTGCAAGCCATGTTCCAATTTAAGAGTTGCTACCTCAATAAACTGGTGTTATCAAAAGGTCAATGATAAGTGATATTCCTGCCACAAAGTGGGCTCTGCTTGACGTCGTAAGTTGCGTTAATGGGCAGAATGGAAAAATTTCAGTTGAAAAGAAGAATTTTAAAATAAAAAAGCGGCATTGGAAATTCAAACAAAATAAAAAACATGTGATTGCAGCCGCTACGTTGCCAATGCCAAGTTGTATTCAATAGCCTTGACCGGTCTCTAATTATAATGATTACAGTGAAATTTAATAATAGCTTTGTTTAATAGGTTTCTTTTTTTTGTCAAACTCGTTTCCCAAAACTCGATTTGATTGCACCCCGTGTTGGCCGTTGCCCTGAATTTCGACACAAACCCCTTTTTAAAACAAAGGTAGTTTGAAATGAGACGCCACTGTTTAACCTTTATTGGAAAATGGAAATAGTGACAGCTGACAGTTAGAAGACAAGTGACACACACCAACAAATAATTACTTCATTTTTACATTCTATTAATTTATTAAATACAGAACAATGAATCGTTTATTCGGAAGAGGCAAGCCAAAAGAGCCAGGTCCTAGTATGACGGATGTCATATCTGGGGTACGTGTTAATTGTCATTACAATCATGATTGAAGTATCCTCCTCAGGTAGACCAAAGAGCTGAAGGCGTCGAGAAGAAAATTGCGGCCTTAGATACCGATCTGCGTAAATTTAAAGACCAAATGTCCAAGATGCGCGAAGGTCCGAGTAAAAACGCGGTGAAAGCGAAAGCAATGCGCGTGTTAAAGCAGAGAAAAATGTACGAACAGCAGCTCGAGAGCCTTCGAGGTCAATCGTTTAATATGGAACAGGCGAATTTTGCATCGCAAACTCTTAAGGATACGCACATTACGGTCGCAGCCATGAAAGATGGAATGAAGCAGATGAAGAAGGAATTTAAAAATATTAACATCGACGAAATCGAAGTAAGTGCTCTTTAAACCAAAGCGTACGTATAATGTTTTGTGTACAGGATGTCCAAGACGACCTGGCCGATATGTTAGAACAAGCAGATGAGGTGCAAGAAGCATTAGGGCGCACATACAACACACCCGAGATGGACGATGATGAACTTAATGCAGAGCTAGATGCGCTGGGAGATGAAATTGCGCTAGACGATGATGCAAGTTATTTAGATGATGTTTTGAAAGCACCTGAGGCACCAAGCAATAAGCCAGAGGCAGAGGCGAGGAAAACACCAGGTGGTGTTCAAGTAGATGAATTCGGATTACCTCAAATTACTCAGCATTAATTCGCTTTTTATCTTGAGTAACTTGACCTCTTCATATTGCGCTTATGTATAACTAACAAGTGCTTTTCATGACCTTAGGGTTAAGTCAGTAGCCATGAGAATCCATTTTTTTTGTATATTTTTTTTAAATAAAGATTGTTTCAATGTACAAATGCTAATGTGAACAAAAATAAATGTATATTCTGTTATTTACTTTTACTGAGTTAATAAACCAATATTACTATTACAACACAGACTTGAATGGGCAGTTGCACCGATTTCCATAATTTATTTTTGATTAGCTACCGACATGCCTATATAATTAAATTGGCAATGTTTAAATACACCTCGCATTCCCTTCAAAATCAACAAAGCAGTAGGTGGATTATGAGGCAGGGTGCTTTTATGATAGGTACAATGCAAGGATAGTGCAGCGGGTATATGCTGGGAAATTTTCTACCTTTTTCGCAATGTAACACAAAACTGTGCCTGAACTAGGTATTTAAGACGACAACACAATTGTGTATATTATATTATTTTCATCACAAGAAAATTTGTATGCTATCGTCATCATATTCAAATATCTCTTAAGTGTTCTATTAATGTAGTTTATACTAGTTTTCTCATTCATTTGAGTTTTACCATTGTTTATTACTTAACAAAATATAGCCCAAAAGTATTTTTCAACAGCAACCTGAATTGCAAATTAACAATTTATTCCACCTCAAGGTTAAACTTGGACTTTCTGAAATTGTAATTAAAGTACCTACCTGCTCCTGTCATAATACTTTTGGTCTCATGTCAACTGACTTCCATACTAGAGCAGAGGTGGTATGAAAAATCGATAACATTAACAAAAATTTATTGCTACTTTCCTTACACTCACTTAATACAATCATCATAGCGTATTACTAAATTAGACGATTCCTCCACATTGGATATGACGATCCACCCAGCTGAAACTTAAGATTGCTTTTAATTAGTATGGTGCTTTTCAAACTATATCATGTATCTACCAAAGAAAGGTATCTTAGATATAAATTTTGCAGTGATTCAAAGTGATGGTCACAAAACTGAACTTTTTCCTCTACTGACTATAACTTTAAATCAACTGTATAATTAATCCAAAAGCAGAAATTAAAAAAAAATAATAAAAAAAAGGAACGACACAATTTTTTTGCATACTCAACCCGTTCTCCCAACTTCACAAGCTGAGAATTTCATTCGCATGACAACTGAAATCAAATCGTAACGTGACAATAACTTGAAATTCAAATATTTACAAATTACCAAGCTTCTGACCGGCAATGTGTTACTTATGAAATCAGAAGCGAGGTATATTATATGTACAAGAAAAAAAACTACCACACCTTGGCATTAACTGCATAGAGAATCTCGAGAAGCTCCAGAATCCTCTGCTGCCCGAAGCTCCTGAAAAAATTACAGAAGCCTAAAATCTCATTTACAAATTTTGGCTAAAGTGTAAGGAAAGAGCACTTATACAATATAAATAATATGATACAGACATTTTAAACCAACATTTTTACGATCAGTCTTAATCCAATTCCTTCCAAGTTTGGCACGCATTGTCGTTACATTGTGAACAAAACTCCAAGGACACCTTATGTTTCGATACGTGAAGACAGACACCGGGATCGTCATCAAAGTCTAACTTGGTATAATTATGTTCCTGTCGAGGTACTATGCTACTGGAATGTTCTTCGGGTATATTCTCCAAATCAGGGAGAGGAAGATCTGGTAGATCTAAATCAGGAAGTTCCAATAACGGTGATGACATAAATGTATCGTCCCAAGGATGAGCGGATTTATTATCAAGCTTTGAAACACAGTTGTTGACTGTCAACGATTTATCCAAAGAAGTTGTTACAGACATACCTGAGCTGTTGCTTATATTTCTTATTAATTTACTCAAATCTGAACTGTTCGCTAGCACGCTTCTTATGTATTTCACCTCCGTACGTAACTCTGATATAACAACCGATTGACTTTGTACAATTGAATTTAACTTTTCTCTCGCACTTCTCAATTTGATTATTTTATTCTCGAGATTTTGGATGTACATTTTCTTTCGTATGCGATTCTGTCGTGCCAATATAGCATTTCGGCTTGTACACTTCTCCTTTCGTTGTAGCTTGAAGAAATCGGTCTTTTTATTGGAACCAGTTGATGCGTCACTCCCTTCATCTTCACTGGACAAATAATCTGACTCAATCAGGCACATGGAATTATTTCGCGACTTTGCCATTCCGTGAGCCTTCGCTGACGTGAATTGGTGAACAATGAAGACACAAATTACTAAAATTAATTAATTTTTAAATATGTGACGTTACAATTAACCAGCTGCGTAATTTTGTCAAGATGGCGTAGCTTTTTTTGCAGGAACATAACCTGGATAATGGATTACAATGTTGCCAAATTGAAACTAATACGTTTACCCTCAACCTTTATTATATATTTTAAACAGTCTAAAACCGTGCTCTTTTATTGCAATAAAACGCATTTTCAGAGATTCCAGAGGGGCCATTACCCAAAATAACTGTAAATTTCTATCGTTTATTCGTTCTATTTTATTGTTGTACCCAAATTTGAAGATCTTTGATTAATGTTTAAATTTAGGTAGATGGGAGAGTGGCAGTGAGAAGTATCTTGATGGGAATGAGCGCATCAGTTTTTATTCTTCCTGTAAAATTGGTCTGAACTCCGGGATCCATAAAGGAGCCGGAAAAAAGTTAAGCGGCTGAATCTCACTCGCATTCGGAAACACGACTTTTAATCCGGCTCATACTGAATAGGACTGATTCTTGAACTCGTAGAAATCGATTGGCGAAGGTTTGACTTGACATCATTCTGTCTCATTTCGTTCTCGAGTTAGTACAGGTAATAAACTACAGCTTTCTTTATTAAACATTTTAAAACAAGCCAATTTAATACAATAAAAGCGCGATATCTTGACTTACTATTGAGGAAGAAAGAATATTGAGTGAACGTCATCCAAATTATTATTTTTAAAGAATATATCATTAAGAAGAACATCATGTGGAGCATTTAAATCTTTTTTTCTACAGGTATTATTAGAGATACTAAAACGATTTCGAATAAAAACATAAAAAGAACCAATTAATCCTTACATATTATGTTCTGTTTGGCACGTTTTGTTGCTTCTTTTTTCTGCCTTTCCACTTGCTAAATTCTTGATTACTATTACAGCTTGTTTTATTTTGTTTTTGTAGGACACGTATTTTTTGTAGTTCTTTTCCGATTTTACCCTTAAATCATTTAGCACTTCATTGTTTTCGTTTAATTTCGTTTCCAAATGTTTAATTTGTAATAGTAAAACATCTTGGCGCTGCTCAAACAGTTCCCGCTGTTTGCAATATGAAAGCTTCAAGTTGCTGATCTCCAACATTGATAGTTTTCGTTCCCGGAGTTCCTCATTGTCCAGCCCTTGAAAATCAAATAAATTCTTTCTTATTTTCGTATTACATTCAGCAGCTTCCAATTTTTGTCTGAGGTCTTGATTTTCCAATTTGAGGGCAACATTTTCACGATCAAGATTCAGCTTCTCATTGGTTACCATTTTTAATTCGTAGATTAGGTCAGTTACGATGCTTTGCTCTGCATATAAATTATTTATGCTTTGTAATTTTTCCATTTTTGATGGACATTTTTTACTGTCTAGAGCTGACCCTGTTATATGACATAAGTTCTGTCAATGATTACAATATTTATTTAATAAGCTTAACAATGTTATAAGTTTCATACATTATATATTAATAATAACTCTGATATATGGCAGTATATTATGGAGGCACTTGATTATCTTCAACCGGGCAGCAAAGACAAATAGACTTTTAATTATGCCAATCTCGTTGAACTTTAATTAGCGTATTCTAGAGATCTTCTTAGCTTTGTCGATACAGGGTGGTGGAATTTCTGGTTTGTTTGTCAAATAACGGCTATACAGTCTGAAAACGATGAAATCATTTATAAGGCCTTGTAAAAGTATAATGCATCTGTACATTCGATAAGTCTCGCTGCGAAGATAGTCCATTAAGTGACTGATGCCGACTTGCAGTTGATCAGCAATTGGTGTAACCCACTCATTTCCATCCAGCCTAAACACCGATTTATTACTAATCATGTCGAGATTGCCAATTTCTGGTGGTAAAATTGTAAGGCGATTTCCTTGCACATTAAATTCCCTTAAACGTGTTAATTCACCAATTTCTTTCGGCAACTCAATTAAGTCATTTTCACGTAAAACCAGCTGGAAAAGTGGCAAGTCTGTAAACAATGGAGCCAACAATGTCAAATACTTACAATTTGTAAATTCTTCAGATTTCCTATGTCAGACGATAAATACTCAAAATCATTATCCCCCATGTATAAAGCACGCAACGTTTCTACAATATGAGTAAATAAGAACAAATGAATCTAGAAAGGTATTCCGACTGAACTAGAAATTCTGACTTTAAATTCAAAATTCCAAGTTTAACAAAGTCAGAATAAGTGTTGTTTATTTTTTTATTTGTTATATTTTTTTCAGAGTCAGAATTTCCACTTGAATCAGTGATAATTAGCGGTCTTTCGTAGCCTTACCCATCATAAAAAAATTCCCTGGCAAAGTTTTTTCGCTCAAGTTGTTGTAAGTTAAGTCTAAAACTTCAAGCATAGGAAATGCGCCAAATCCTCTCGGCAAGCCATAGAGACGATTAAATGATAAATTTAATATGCGCAACTTTGGCATCGATGATAAGGATAAGGGCAGCTCCTCCAGATGATTATTAGCAAGAGTCAATATTTCTAAATTAACAAGATTCGCCAAACCTGGTGGTACATCTGCAATATCATTCAAATTTATTAGACTATTTGAGTAAGGGAAGGCCACGTTACTTACTTTTTATTTTATTGTGACTTAACGTAAGTCTGGTGATATACAGCATGTTTACTGAAAATAATTAAATATAGTATAAATATTTTTTGGTCGAAAGAAGCTTATGAAGCACTCTGTATTAATAGTCGATTTGGTAGCCACCGTCATTATATAGTAATCTGAATTTACAACTGGCAACGCCGTAATAAATTAATACAGAACAATTATAATTTTAATAATTTAGTAATAACAATGTACAATTGCAAATTGTTTGCAGCTACAACACGTAACAAAATATAAATAATAAGAGAAAACCATGGCAACGAAAGCCACGCCTTCTTCTTTTACAATGAGCAAGATTCCAAATTTGGAAATGTTGTCCCATTTAGGAAAACGAAGGTTACTCACGTAATCCAGGCATTTCCTCGAACGTCGCTATACCCTTGTCAGCTAAATCTAGCTCGGGATTTTGGATTTCCCGAGACTCTTCCAAGACCTTTTTTGTTTTCGACATTTTACTTGTATTTGGAATACAGGAAACTGGAGCTTGATTCATAATTGCGCGCGCGCACTTTTTTCACCCGTCAAATTTGAAAATGTGGTCTTCGCGATGGTCGAAACTTGACTGACAACTCTCGCTTTGATTTACAAATTTTGTGGTGGGCAGCTTGCCAAATGCATTTTTAGTACTCAGTTTAGGTCTATTTGCGGTGTAATTAACAAAAATTTGTGAAAGAATTAACGTTTATTATCACTATCAGTCTTTACATTTCTTCATCTGTAAATAAATCTTCTTCATCATCAGTTACATCTGTTGTTGCCACTGAAGATTCATATTCTAAAATTTCTGCATCAGTCAAGTGCGAATTGCCTTGTATAAACGATGCAAACCTACGAGAAATTGTGAATATGGAGAATTGATTGCAGTGTGTTACCTTTTTACATCCTTCAACTTAAGTGCAGTTTGCCATTGGTTGCATTCTGGGCTAGAGCAGTACTTTCTCAGATTTTCCAAAGCATCAGAAGTTTCTTTAACACCCTCTTGATAGTACTCTGCGTTGGTTAAACGTTTAGTTTTTGGCGGAAATTTTCGCCTCCTTAACTTACATTAGACATGACATACGTTTGGGACAACTACTTACCAATATGTCTTTGATCTCGTCACCCACTTTGTCGGAAAGTTATATATAAAAATAATAATGGCTATCTGCCCAACTGCCGCTTCCTGGAAGTGTGTGCTGTTTAAGACCAAAACCAAACCCAATGCTTGTAGACTCCAACGAATTAGGTTCCTTGTGCGTTCATTTGTTACGGGACCCCAACGATAACAAACTAGATACTTATTAATTGACTATCAACAAATGTGAGCGAGTACATACCTACAAAGCTGATAAGTCCCATTATAATTGTGTACCAGATTAAGTACTCGTAGTAGATCAAAACGACACTTTTAATATTTTCACGTAGCAGTTCTAACATGTACACTCCTATAGTCCATCCAAATACTGCAACACCGTATACTAAAGGACGCTGAAGTGATTACAAATATCAATTTTTGTTATAACCACAAAATTAACACGATGGTCCTAATCCCCCCCCCCTTTGTCAGAATTAGTTCAAGAATTGTATTAAAAGTAAGCACTCGGGGGAGAGGGGTAGATTCAAGAGGCTCAGAAACTTACATTTGGAAACATTCTACTGAAAAAATAAATTAATATCAAGAAAGATGCACATATTCCAAACGAAACTCCGCAAATATAGTAAAACAATGTATTTTTGCTTAATGTGCCTGCATTAAAGAAAAGCAACACTCCTAAAACTAACCAGAGGAACTTCCAATAGTCGAATCCTGCACAGAGAAATTGTCATTAATTCTCTTACGTGAAATGAACTTACAAACTTACTAAGAACTTGTAATGAGATTTTATACTTTTGCATAGTATCAATCCCTAAACATGTTTGATTGAAAGGATCAAGCTTAATTGATTTCTGTTTCCAAGCAAATAAGTTAAGGCTCCAACTGGAACGTTGTTCCAAGTACTCCCCGTACACAATATCAGGTGTCGGTCCTTCATAATAATTGTAACTTTCTGGTTTTAAATCAAGGTCCACCTAAAATCTGACCAGTGAAGACAAGAAATAATGTAAAATTACACACATAAATGCTTTGCCATAAATATATGATGCTCTTTGGTTTACCATCGTAACAAAACATAACAAGCTCCGAGGAATCTTTCTGGGCAATGTTGTAGGGGCCTTGAGCTAGGTACTTTACTAAAATGTTTATAAGATTAACAGTAGGTATTAAAGTAGTCAACTTACCAGTACGTCGATACTGTGTCGAGGAGATACAGCGCGTAAATAAACATATCAGAAATAAAGTTGTACAACATTTTATTCCTGCCATATTTGATAAAGTAGAAATTCGCAACATTCACAATTCATCCCTTGTAAGAAGCGGGAACAATTTTATCCAGGGATGTGATTTTTCTAACCGTAAAAATAGCCTCATACGAGAAAGAAAACAGATACAACGTCAAACAGTGTAGAGAGAGTAAACGAAAGAGTTGGTTGACATTAAATGTCAATAAACAAATTACCATTGGATCCAATAAGTCTCATTAGAACTAATGTTAACTTTTCTAAGTGAAATTTTTTGCGTTTCCATTGGTCCATTTAATGCAGCATTATTGTTAATTTTCAACACACTTTAAGAATTAAAGAAATTGTGGTTGAAAGAAGGGAGGGATTCTCTATATTATTGCGCGTACAACGTTCCCCAAAAATAATCAGGTCCCTCTCGCATAAGCCACCTAAAACCTAGCAATATCTGAAGTTTCTTTTGAATTTTAGAACCAAGTTATGCAACACACATTACACATGATCACTGTTGTTGCAGGTCGTGTCAGCGTCAGCTGTTAAATGATTACAAAATATCAACATTCAACAACGTGTTCAGTAAAATGAATAAACTCGTTCAAATACACAAATTAGGTAAAATCTCATACGTAGACTCCTTAAAACTGCAAAATAAACTCGTTGATTTACATCGTAGTAACGAAGCAACAATCAATGCGTTGTTACTCCTCGAGCATCCACCAGTGTACACAATCGGCATTCGAACCAAGGACTACACTGCAGAAGATGAAAAGAACCTACTCGCAACAGGTTTGTCGTGAGCTTGTATTGTAGTAAAGCGAATGCAAATTTCCAGGTGCCGAATTTCATCGCACCAACCGCGGTGGATTGATAACGTTTCACGGACCCGGCCAGTTAGTTGTTTACCCGATATTGAACCTAAAACACTTTACACCGAGTATGCGGTGGTACGTCTGTCATCTAGAAAAGACGATAATCAATTTGTGTGAAAATTTAGGACTGAAAGCAGAAACTTCGCCACATACTGGAGTTTGGATCAATGACAATAAGGTATTTGCTCCCCTAGACCATGCTATTAGTCCAATATCATGTAATTACAGGTGTGTGCAATTGGAGTACATGGCAGTCAGTTTATAACATCCCACGGACTTGCATTAAATTGTTGTACAAATTTGGAATGGTACCGCCACATTGTCCCATGTGGAATTAAAGATAAATGGGTGACATCTTTATCCAAAGAATTAAATAGACATGTTTCTATTGATGAAATTATGCCTTTATTTTTGAATAGTTTTTGTAAAACATTTAATTGTACATATGTAGATGTTGATCGTAGCCCTATAATGACTGTGGAACCTTTGTGATCGTTTTTTATTATATAAATTGCTCCAAATTGGATTGTGTATTTTATTTTGTCACAGTGTAAATACGCAACGTTTTTCCCCTGAAGGGTAAGCAATGAGATTATCGCCATCACTACTGAGAATTTTATATCGTCCTCTAGTCTGAAAATGCGCCATGGTCATTGAACTAAATAATTTTTTATTCAATGGCCATGGTGGAGCTAGGCGGATAAACCAATTAGAAAAGGTTCTCATCTTGATGCGTTGTCTGTCTGCATATAAATTTCTTTTTAATGTAGGTACCATAACAATAGATTTTCAAATAATCTTTAATAATTTACCTTTTTAATACTACTACTACTAGTTGGGTTACAAACTGAGATTATCACACTTCAGCATCTTTTTAGCACATTTATTTGGAAATTGCATGCCTTTCAATAGCAAATCCGCCAAGTCCTGTAGACAGAAACGTTGTGCAATATATGTATACCTCACTGAAGCAAGATACTTACAGATAGACATGGCAAGCAAGCGGCTAAGGTGTTAAAGAGAACATAAAAAATACTACAAAAAATGCCTATAGGGAACGCAATGAACCACAATATTAAAAACCATACAATGCCACATAACGGATTTCCACCTGCCATAACTGACAAACCCTTTTGACAATGTGTGGATCTACCTTAGCTACAGTTATTTGCAAAACAAAAACTACATTTTTTCCCCTATAAGAACCCATTTCCACGAGGTGTTTTGAAGCGCTGCAGAGTAGCGCCTCTGGTACGTTTCATATGGACGCCTCCTTTCATACGCGCGACTTCTGGCGCAGATGAACGAAGGTTGACCTAATGTGGAATCTTGTACTAAATATTTCAATACCTTTCAATAAGTCCAACAAACGCGCTCGCCTTCTAAAATCAAACCCACTGTGTACTCTAAAATCATTTTAATAGTAGTTCAGTAATTCAAATAAAATTATTTTATTTACAAGAGAATTATAAAGTAGCGCGGCTATATAGGTACATATGTGTTAAAAAGTATAGTTAATTCGGTTGCCGTGCATTTTCCATATCAGTGTATAATCCTATGTTATTTAACAGGCTATCCTCACATTCGCTAAAAAATCCAACATCAAAACCGGCAATCTTAGTATAATGATGAACATGAGCCTAAAACATAATCGAATGAAGGTATGACAGCCTCAATCCAATCATATACCTTTTTTTGATATAACTTGTTGTAAAGATGTAAAATATACGAAAAAAGCGTTCTCATTGCTGTGGTATTGAACAAAGTTAAAATGGCAGACGTTTGGCTGATAGGAGGCACATCACACAACCCAACCTTGACAGCTTTACGTGACCAATGCGTAAACCTTCCTTTTGTTTGCAAATGATCGACGTAATTTCTCATATCTGAGAGACTAAAATCTCCTCTTCCAATCAATGTGGACCCTAATAAGACCGAATTTGCTCCCAAGGGATCGATTTTAATCAACTGGTTGCTTCGACTACATGAGTTTCGAAACATTTCGTATTTTACTTGTTGGCTAATGAAGTAATTTCAAAATTTTAAATGATTTACACCCCTCTTAGTTTACCTAGTTATCTGAGGTGGGAGCTTTGAAGCAGGTCTAGTCAAAGGACTAAAACTTGAAGAAAGAAAATGCAGATTTGGAAACGGTACCATATTTGTGTTGATTTCATTGATATCAACATTCATACTTCCAGAGAATCTTGATCCGCTGTAATTTGTTTTCAGTTAAATGTCAATGGGAGAACTGCACCTACTTACCTCGTTAAATGCAAAAGCATGTTAGTTACCAAATTGTTCATATCAAAAAAGGGACGAAACTCGACTATTGATGATTGCCTGTATAATGTTTGGGTTACAATGTCAAATAATGCTCGATTCTCAATGGGGAAGACACAAGTGGCGCTCTCAATCAAGTGTCGAGTTGCAAGTGCCATATTATAGGGGCATGTAATCACATCCTCGGTTCCAGTAGGATACACACATGAGACAAACCTGGACATGAGTTTTTAAGAAAGTCTTCTAACCATCATCATTACCTTTCAACATGAGGGAAGTAATCGGCTAGCAGTGTCAAGATGTAGGTGCCCAAACCCGAACCGGTACCTCCGCCCATAGAGAATAACAATATAAACCCTTGCAAGCTGTCACATTTATCTACCGCCTTTTGTATCACATTCAGTAATCTCTCTCTATACAACGGCCCATGATAACAATAACCTTCTGCCCAGTTATTACCAGATCCCGGATAATTACTTACAATACATTTCTCATCAAACAGACTTCGGAAAGGTCCAGTTTTAAATTTGGAAACGACACTATCTTCCATATCAACTAAAATGGACTACAAGCATTCATCTAAAGTCACACAAAGTGCAGAATTCTCACTCTTGCTTTAACATTAGCTCCTACTAAGTCGGCCAGTGTGTTAAAATCGCCACATTTGTTGTTGGACGGTACAGAAAAAAAACTATGAAAAGAAGATTCAAAATTCGTACTCGTGGGTCGTTTCCTAGTTGTTTTGCCGGCCTGAAACCCATATTCGTCAAGTACCGCGGGCCAAAATGTACTTCCTATTTGATTTCCACATTGACCCACTATAATGGAAAAACTAATTAAAGAATTAATTCTAACACAATTACCTTGTATAGTAATAAACTCAGTCATGTATACTTTGTCTGAAATTTAATTTTGAATTTGAGGTTAGAAATTTAAATTTATTTTATTGTACCTACAGGTCATTTGAACTATAGGTAGGTCATTTGTAGCATTATTATTGGTTCCAATTATTCTTAATTTGAAATTGTGAACATGAATTTTCAACACTGAATAGTTTAAAAATGTTGCGTTCGAACGGTTACATTTCCAATTTTAGTTTATTGAACGTTTAAAATATCGGCCATAGCTATAAAATAAATCGACCTTTAAGGGGTCATGTTGGTTGCCTATGTTACAGTCATACAAAAAGCAAGAGACAGTGATTTAGAGCAAATAACCATCGATTTTGTCCTACCTGGTTTACTGTTCTGTTTCCAAATCGAGTAAATAAAAAAATCCGGGTTTGAAAAGGATTCACATTAAATTTCCTTACAAATCTTATCCCCTGAAGCTTCTAAATCGATAGATAAACCAGTCCCTTTTTGTGCGGTCATCTTTAAATTTGCAGACACGGAAGCAACTGGCGAATTGACTTTCAACCTCAAGCAGCAATACCTCAACCTCCTATTTAGACTTCCTTGTGAAATAATTATTTTATCTCTGGTTCTATTAACATACTGTGGCGCAGACTAGGGGGACAGTATTGTAACGGAAACGCTCCAGACATGACGTCGCCTTTGGCGCTCTGGAATTTTCTACGCGCGCGATAGTGGGATTTGTGTAGGAATATTCGAGACTGTTCGCGAGTGTTCTGGACTTATATTGCTTGCGTGTATAAATGGATGCGGACCGAACATCGCGGCAGTCTACTACCGAACGAGATCGAGTACGTACGAAACATAGAGCGCGGAGATATAAATTGCGAAGTGTGTGATATAAATAATTGATATAAATTGTACGGTTTTTATAGTGTTTCAGTTTTATTTAATAAATATTGATATAAATCGAACCCGAATTTATAAATCACGTTACAGTATCAAAAGTGGCAACTTCTCGCATGGTCGATATGTAGCTTGAGAACATCCCTTGTCCTTCATCTGCCACGATCAGGTAAGCTGGACTGCTAATAGTGAGAACAACAAAATCCAAATCCAATTTCAGCACTGAAATCGAAAATTTCTCAGATTTATTGTCGATAAGATAAATTTGAGTTTGCCATTCATAAATCCTAGCCAAATAAAGGCTTCAGGGATCTGGAACTCGCCCACTTTTATTCTAAAAACCCTAGTAGTGGTTAACTAGTTGACGAAAAATGAAAAAGGTTAATTATTTAAACGGACTATAAAGTCTCGGGCAAAAAATGAAACAAATCATTGTACTACCAATGACATAATATGTCATTGTTATTAAAAATAAGACGGGGAGGTCGAAAAAAATGAAGTTCGGTGCCTTTCAATTTTCAAGTCACACAGTATGACCCGCTACCCTTTAGGGGGCCTTGGGGTAGTGACTATATTGATATCATTAGGAAATTAGCCAGTTGAAGTAAAGATTCGGTTAGAATTTACCAATATTGTCGGATGTGATCATCTTTGAACGAAGCTTGAATTTTTGGGCCTATTCAGAACTACTAACCTTCACCTAAATATCAACTAAGGCCGGATAAAAACTATTGGCTTGAATCTAAATGAGTCTATTCTCATAATTACATTAGAAATGGCGCTGATTTTCAAAAAAAATCCCGCATACTCCTCGATTGCAAGTCTCCTAAGGATTAGGACGCAAGTGTGTTGCATACGTACAAGGCGGCGCCAATTAATAATCACAATCGGTTTTCTTATTTAACTGCGTGCGCAATTCAGCGTCTTACATTATTAATAACAATAATTCATGGACTTTATTCGATTGATAATTGACAATAATTCCCTGAAATGTACAAGTAAACGTCACACGACCGGCTTATTATATCGACGGGCAAGTCAAAACGGCTTTAACGGCGGGACGTAATTTTTGAAATTGAGCGCATGCGATAACTATTATCATAATCTTTTTATTGTTGAAATACTTATCTTTGTCTTACTAGAGCGATCTAAACACATCGAATTATGTGCGTGAAATATAACATTCAAGCCGCAATGAAAATTTATTGACACGGAACCGTAGTGATAGTTGACAAAGTGTGGTGGAAGCATTATTAATGTTAAATTCCGTAATTATTCAACTTCAGTAAGTGAATTAGAGCTATTTATATCTCTACGCGTTCAACTTTGAAAAATAAGGGTAGTTTAATTCATAACGCGCGCGGATTTGTACTAACTATACATATTTAACCGGAAATTGTTAATCTGAAATCGCGTAACCGCGGGTTTATGCACGCACAATTCCGTATTTTTTTTTATTAACTATGCGAAGTAGTGATGTCAACCAAAATAATTTGTATATTAACCCATGTAGAGCTAATACTGTCATAGTGTTATTATTTAATACATACAGGACATGGCGAAGGTCAGTTTCTTATAATCGGTAGTGTATTTTTAAAAAAATTGATTAGGTTACCGGTTAAAGTAATTATCTATATATAAGCACATCCGAATTTACCTTTTATTATTATTCATACAATTATGAATAATCACACCGTTAGTGTTCGTTTAGATTAGTGCACCTGTTCATAGCTAAGTGCTTTGGCGTGGTATTCCATCGAGAACTTCAAGTGCGGTCTGTAAACAAATAACTTGTGCAATTATCATTAATAATTTCTTCTTCAATGTGAACCAAAGTATCGGTTGTTGAATCCTTGAATTGTTGATAAGTAGCAATTAATGTAATTACAATAACCCAACGCCAATCAGTCGGCGAAGAGTAGCACCTTCAATTATAGTCGCGGTAATGACATAGTTATAAAAAGCAATGATCGTGAACAAATTTGGATTTGATTTGTAGGAGAAAAAGTCATTAAAAAGTAATAAGGTGACCGAGCTATTTTTAAAGGGATAGAGGAAATGGGGTAGAAGAAGAAGAAACTTAAACTGTCTCCTTTTGCAATTTCGAATTGTTCAAAAAATTAGAAATTTTAAACCATTTAGCCTTTGATGCAAAACCGGTGATTGCGAAGTACAGAAGTGCCCTACGAAATTGCAACAGAAAAACCTGTGAATTTCTATTTGTTTATGCAATTAGCCGAACACGTACTACTAGAGAATTTAGCAAAATATAGTACTGGTAGTTCCAAGTGATATCAAAAACGAATTGCAAGTATGTATGGAGGGATGCTTCCCGAAATCGTGTCAACATTTACTCGCACTCTCCGAATACGGTGTAAAACTCGCTCAGTAATCGAATCGAATCCACCCTCTCTCACAATCCAAGAAACTGTCCATAATTCCCCTTCATTCGCAATTAATTATAGCTAAATTATATAGGTACGTGATTATACCACGGCCCAAGAAAAACGTTAAGACATATCGCCGTCCAAAGTAAAAATTTTAGTAATTTGTGAGTTTGTGACCATTGGGGATGCAATTAAAGAGGTTAATCATTCATTCCTTGAAACAAACATTACCGAATTTTGTAAGAAGAAGTTAAAATGATCTCCGACTAGCCCTTAACATGAATTTTTTGTGTGACTTTACATTCTCCATTTACGATGCTGCGATCCAAAATAGAATCTCACTTTTTTCTCCCCATCATCATTTTTATATGATTTGAGGAATTCTAACATGATCTTCCGTTCATTACCATCTTACGTTTCACACTTCAACGTTATCGCTAAAGCCTGATGATGGGGTGATAACCGCCCCTCCCCCGAAATCGATATCTAAAGGAAAATAAAGATAATTCAGCCGAGTTCTTATTACACCTATAAAACATAGGTACCTAACGACTGATATGGAGAGATACGTAAAGTTCCATATGAAAATTGAAATTTTATATTCAAATATGATTTTGGGCAAAATTTAATACAAACCTCGTCAGTAAAATGGCCCTATTTGACTCGGAAATTGAAGTACTCGACCCTAAAGGGGTCTCGCACTTCAATATTTCCTCGCCAGTTATGTGTCATTTTCCTAACTTTTATGGAAATAACTAAAACAAAAATAGTATACAAATATTAATAGTATCGAGATTATTTTTTATTTGAAAAGATGCAAATAGAATTTTTACACTACACAGCGCCATTGTATAAATCCATTAGACCATTGCAGTTTATTCAATGGTGAATCCTTTTACTTATACATAACCAATTTATATACTTACTGTTCCCTTTTAGCATAGCAAAAATTATTTATGGACTGCAATTTGCAGTGGTAGTGCTTTCTGATTTAGCATTTCTGAAAAGAATTAAGCCTTTCGTGTGATTTAAGCCTTTTTTAGAGGCGCATGAGTGATCATTTTAGGAAGATGTTCTTCTCTTGGCACAGAATATCCGCTCTTTCCCAATTAACATTTAATCGATTAAAATATTCCTCTGATGTGTTCTAGTTGGGCAAATAGGTATTGCAGACGGCTGCAGCTATCTTTGTAGATAGTCGTTGATGTAGGTTACTAATCAACATAATTCCGCAATTACCTTTATATCAAGATTGTGATTTTTACTCGAACATATTATATCTAAACTGTTTGACATATGGGTATGTATAGGTACATAATTTTTTAATAAATTTTATCTGAAGTGTTATATACTACAAAAGGTTAAAAAATTGTTTATTACGTCAAATTATAAAGCTTAATTTTTTTATGTTTATATCTTCGGAAGAATACAAGAAGTGGATTATTTTAGGGTCATTACTACTGAGGAAAAAAGCACAGGGGAAGAATGCAAAAATCAAAACTTCAACGCGTTCGCTCGAGGAACTGTATGGAGTACAACAGACACGAAAGTTTGTCACCTCTGAAAAATAGGCAAATCAACCTCTTAACTTCTAAAGTGAGCACTTTGCAAGACAAATGAAGACATGTGATCGGCATTCGAATGTTATACATACGAGATTTTTCTATGCAAATTTGATTCGCACATCCAGGCGTTGTCAAGGCGATTAACAATTGAAATAAGTTGTTTGGGAAAATACTTTTTGCAATAAGACCTTCAACTTGTAGCAAGTTTTTCATATCATTCTTCGTCCCTGAAAATTTTTGGATTGCATTGCGAATTGAGAAAATCGATACGTCGATATCGATTCCTTTGCTTCACGGACAAATTGATTGCATAGTATAACAATTTCCAGCTTTTTACGGTCGAGGTCACTCTTGGAATCTATATACATTTTTATATAACAGTCCTTCATGAACATTTACGTTAATTATTAAGCGTAACGAAAATTATGAAATAAACTATCAACTTTAACACGGATGAGTTCATGCCGTAACGTTGGAACCGCGTGAATTTTTGCCGTGTGTAAAAGCATCGCTTTTGGGATCAATATGAGTTTTCCCGAGGAATTCGGTTTTGGGGCGGATACGATACGATACACATGTAGGTAATTCCTATGGTGGTTTTCCGTAGGGAATTATGACTATAGTTTTGTGGGCAGGGGTGCGTATAGCTACAGTATACCTATCGAATAAACAATTTGGATGTAGCGTCCCCCAGCTTAAAAAAAATTAACAAAATAAATAAATAAAAAGCTAGTGCTGATGCGTGGCCACACAGCAAACAAAATAACACACGTAAAAAAGTGTTTAAAAAAACCCCAACTATTTCATCACGGACACGGCTAATTTACCCTCAACTGTTTATATAGACAGCTTCGGTGCGTGAACTTACTCGAATGGTTATAGCAAAAGAGTACCCATTACTCTTTGCTATAACTTTTGATTGACAAGTCTGATCGAAAAAGTACGAATTGTTTTGGATTCTACGCCCCAAAATTAATAAGAAAAAGTGTTTTCCCGAGAAATTTTGGTGCAGTCGATTTTTGGTAAAAAAGGAAGGTTAGATATAAACACTGCCTTTTTTTGAAGCCCGAAAAAAAAATTGTCTCAGATCGACCGGAAAAAAATTTTCTTATAGAAGGTGCCCTGTAGAATCCATAATTTCAAACAGTTCCAAGATTGGGCTACTAGTTCAAAAGTTAGAGCCCATTGAATTTTCTTTCGAAATTGGTTTCTACTTAGTCTATAACTTTTGATTGAGAGGTTTGATCGAAAAAGTTCGAATTGTTTTGGATTCTACGCCCCAAAATTAATAAGAAAAAGTGTTTTCCCGAGAAATTTTGGTGCAGTCGATTATTGGTAAAAAAGGAAGGTTATACACTGCCTTTTTTTGAGGCCAGAAAAAAAAATTGTCTCAGTTCGACCGGAAAAACAAATTTTCTTATAGAATGTGCCCTGTAGAATCCATAATTTCAAACAGTTCCAAGATTGGGCTACTAGTTCAAAAGTTAGAGCCCTTTGAATTTTCTTTCGAAATTTAGTATATAACCAAAGAGTACTCTTTGGTTATAGTGAGTGGTGAGGGTAAACATAACATACAAATACACAAACAATGTATTATACAAATCAAAGAATGTTACATTAAATATGCAATTTAGTTGTCAGTATGTTAATGTTGCAACTGAACCACACCCGACACCATTTAGATTATCTCGGATTATCTTTAGATACCTCTGTTCACCTCCAATTTAGTGGTACATCAGGGATATTTGATCCTGTCAAGTTTCAAACGCCGGCTTCATGGCATTGAGGAACATAGACGAAACTTATATCTACCCCTAGTGTCAGTAGTATTCTAGTAGAACATTTTCAGTATAGATTCAAGTGAAGTGTAACTGGACCGAGAAGATTTTCCTTGCTTTAGTGTGATATGCAGCCCTTTCAAGTAACAGAACTTCAGTAGTATTGTACAGTTCCCTGAAAATGACAAAACGCACAAATGACGTTCTAGTAACACAAAGTTCTCTCTCAAATCCCTCGCATGTTCTCAAATTTTTCTCATTTTCCGTGAAGTAAACTTTCCGGAAGTTTCCGTCAAATTATTCTTATAGTTCCTCTCTCTAATTTTTTTTTCACGTTCACTTATCAATTTCTTCTTCAATTTCTTTTTAAGCCAGATTCATGACAAATTCCTCAAATTTCTCCTCGAGCTCTCATAAAATTCTGCTCAATTTTCTATCTCGCGTTTTGTCTCGAGCTCCTATTAAAAACGTTATTTTGCGTTAATTAGTATGGACAAAATAACTTTTTCTACAGATACCGTGCACGTTAAGTTTAACGTTAGTGATACATCACAG